AGGCCTTGACCCTCTATTAGCCCTCTAGCTTCTACCATCTTCTCAGTAACGGTCAATGACCCTGACTGACCTATGACCTCTACCCACCTGTTCCTCTAAGGCCTTGACTCTCTGTCGATGAGCCCTCTCTCTGGCTTCTAGCATCCTCTCAGCTTGTAGCTGTGCAGTGCGCAGCCTTTCTGTTTCCATGTCTGTCTCCTGGCGATGACGTGTTGTCAGCTCGATCAACCTACACGACAAAGGGCAATGTATACGATCAGAAACTTCTTTGGTACAGAATGACGAGCATAGCCTGGATTTGCATACATTATCTCTGTACCCTTTTCATTCAGTTGACAGCGCCATCTCAGAAACTCAACTGCACAAGCCTACTGCTTTCTTGTGTACCAAGTACTCTTTTTCATTTACTTTTTAAAAGTGCACAGAACTGATTGCTGGCTGCCAGCACTGAGATTCAATCTTGGTTGTATTTCTTAATTCTAGCCAACAGCTCAATGAGTTACTCCTTGCACTCACCTCTGAGCGTGTTGCTGCTCTGTCTCAGCCAGTGATCCCTGCAAAGCCTGTACCTGACGTCGTAACTCAGAGTTCTCCTGCTCAAAGGTACTCAGTGAGTTATCTAAGGCTCCCTTCTCAGATGAGACTCGCATGGCCACCTCATCCACGCGCATCTTCTCACGCTCAACCTGCCAAGGGCAGAAAAAGTAAAGTCTTGAAATTATGCCACTTCTCACCAAGTACTAGCAGAGGTTCTCTGAAGTTGTCTCAAACCAAATTTTCTACTACATTTCAAAGACAGCATCAAGATTCCCCCACCTTATCAAGTGTCTTCTTAAGAGCATTCTTATCCTTCTCCAGTCGTCCAGTGCTACGCTCTAGTTCTCTCTTCTCCGTTTCCAGGTTAGCGTAAGCCTTTTGTAGCATGGTAATGTGTTCTTGGGAGGTTTGCTTCTGGACTTGCAGCCGTTGGATTTGTCCCAGAGCATTGTCCTCTGATTCCTGACGCTGCTTCAGAATCTATGAACCGACAGAAGAAACAGCAAAATTGTAAACAACACACATCTATTCCACTGATTGACAGGAAAAAAGGGGCTTTGATTGATCCTAAATCTGTCCAAGTAAATGGATAAGTTTCAACTCTTACCTCCTGTAAGCTGCGGACCTGTCCCTCCAGCTCCATCCTACGGAGCTCAATGTCAGACATCTCATTCTGGAGTTGTTGGACTCGTTCCATCAATTGATGATTCTGCTTCTTGGCTTCAGATCCAGCATGTCTGAGGGTTAAGAAATACCAGCCCTAAAACACATCAGGTTGGTGTCAAGGTCGGACCTGGCTTGACAAAGTGCATTTTTCTACTTTGTAAGAAGTTTTAGCAGTGCAAATTTAGTAGATCAAGAAAGAATCTTGAATCTTGTGTTTGCCAACAAACGACTGCCCTGAGCCCTCCTAATATGGCTGTAGGTCCATCCAACATAAAGTACTGAAAAGGTTTAGGTGAATTTTGAAGTATCAGGCACTCCATACCTAGCTGTGTCCAACCTCTCTTGTAGTACACGTCGGTCATGTTCACTCTGTGACAGCGTCTGCTGCAGCTGCTGCATCTGTTCCTGCAGCTGACTGCTCTCCACGGTGCTGTCATTCAGAGACATGGACAGTGACTGCAGCTATAGAGGGCAAAACAGACAAAAAAGTATTGTAATAATTAGTGTCTTGACCTTGATCAACATGGAGGTAGACTTTTCTATGTGAAAGGTAGGTCTTTCCCATTTGGTAGACTGAAATTTGGAGGAAATTGCAGTTTCAGAGTAATTGCTCATAACTGCCCTCCAAATCCTTCCTTGTTGGACGTGAGGGCAATTTTATTTTGAAGGAGTTATTTGTGTTCGTGGGGTACATCTGCCTTTACCTTGAGATCTTCACTCTTACCAAATGCATCTGCCATGCTATCCATAATCAGCTGCAATGCGC